TTGCAGCCAGTTGCTTCGAGTCGGCTCGCAAACCTACATAAGCCCCCCTTTAACATCAACTTTTTCCCTGTAGACCGTTGACAAAAGTTACAAAAGAGGAAATTTGCTAGGGTTTTCATTCTCTTTCTTTCTCTTGTAACTTTACTGTGTTCCTGTTAACGGTCTATGAGACGATATTAATTTTAAGACTAATGTTAAGACTAATGTTAAGACTAATGTTAAGACTAATGTTAAGACTAATGTTAAGACTAATGTTAAGACTAATGTTGAGACTAATGTTAAGACTAATGTTAAGACTAATGCTAAGACTAATGCTAAGACTAATGTTAAGACTAATGTTAAGACTAATGTTGAGACTAATGTTAAGACTAATTTTGTTTCTGACAAAGGGCCCCAGGGTTTGTCATCAGGTACCAACCTATGAAAAGACTTTTGGAGCCACCAACTATCTGCACACACTTGAGCGCTGACAGGGTCTCAGACATCACCGGACTCTTGATCTTCGATCCCTTCAGTCCACCCAGCTGGTCCTTGTCATTCAAACCCCACACGAACGCCTTCGTCTGAATATCTCGCTTCCCTGTTAAACAGAAACAACCCGAAAAGTTTGGTAAATCTATAAAAAAACAACTGAGGGTGGTCTCATGAATCACCTGGTTAGATTCCCGCGTGTGTTACAAACTTCTTAGCCATGCTGGAGAAGGGGTACTGAGGGCAACTCAATCAATTTTTTTCTATAAAACAATCAATAAATCCAGTACTCAAGTAATCATTGTTGGAGAAATTTGCACACAGGCAAGTGAAAGACGTGATGACAAGAACTGTAAATATTAACTGCAAACAGTATCCAACTAGTGACAACAGTCCACTACGGTGGCCCAGATGGCTATTAGATCCCCAGCTATCATATCCCTGGCTATCAGAGAAAAAAGTAACCAAAAGGGAAGAGTTAGTGATGATCACATCCGCAGCCTTTAGTGAAGAATAAAACACTCAATTGGGCCAACACACTCCAACAACAGCGGTTTATGCAGTGTCCCCTCTCTCTCGCACCCGTCCCACTCTTGCAGTGAGCGTCGAGTGATACCTTCAGCTATTCCCAGCTTCTTCGCCTTCCTGCACGCCGGGTCCGGCTCCCCATCCTCGTCCTCCGACGCGAGGATGGAGAAGGACGACGCGAGGTCGCTGTCGTCGCCGCGGATACGGCCGATGATTGACAGCCCGTGAACCTTGCAGTCGATGCCGTTACTCTTGCACTGTTTGATGGCAATCTCCACGTAGCGACAATACTGTAACGAACAAACATGCAACGATGCGTGGCATGACACCAGATAACACAGCAACCTAACGACTGCAATGCTTAATGGCAATCTCCACGTAGCGACAATACTGTAACGAGCGAGCGAGCGTGTGAGCAACGATACGTAGCGTGGCAGCATAAAACAGCACATCGATTCTATATGATAATCGTAGCAATAATACTGCAATGAATACATGCAACGATGTGCAGAGCAGCAGCACAAAACACGTCAACCTAATGCATCTCAAACATGCGCGAGGCGTGGTTCATAACATAACTTTATTTAACATTGACGAGGTAAAGCAAAGTAAAGTAAGCAATTAGATACTCCCAAGTTATCTCTGAGGATGGAATTAACCTGTGCCTCTCTATACAATACCTCGTTCAAATCACACAGTAGGCTGGGTTCGTCTGGCTGCAGGTTGATCTTTCTGAGTTCGTCCGGCTGGAGAATAATCTTCCTCTGCTCCTTCATGAGGCTGATGGAATCGCCGGCACTGACGACGACCTGTGCTGGGGCGTAGCTCGCATCCGAAGCCAACACATGCATCTTCAACCGGTAGATCAACACGTCCGGCTGCATCTCCAACCTTATCCAGTGCTGCGGAGAGAAGGAGGGGTGAGAGAGAGAGAGAGAGAGAGAGAGAGAGAGAGAGAGAGAGAGAGAGAGAGAGAGAGAGAGAGAGAGAGAGAGAGAGAGAGAGAGAGAGAGAGA